TTCTGCAGGACTCCAGGCAGAAGACCTTCCCGCATCCTTCTCTGGTGATGGGCAAAGGACCTGTCTCCGGACAGACTGAGAGTGGGGTTTTCTCCTCCTGTCTCATGCCGAACTGGCCCTGAGGGCTTGAGAGAGACTGATGCCCATTGCATGTGGCAAGGGAATACTCAGTGCAAAAAGCAGCCATTGTCCAAAGGCAGATGATGCTGTAGCCTTGTGAAGCAGATCTGGGTCTGGTCATCGCCCGGCTGGGAGTCCTCAACATCACCTTGAAGCAAGGCAGAATAGAAACGTCTTGTACCACATTAGGTTTGTTTTATTCAATTTTTATCCCATCCCGCAAGCGGGCTCTGGGCGGCTCACAACATACCCGTATAACAATTTAAAAGATGAAAACGTAATACTGTAAAACATTTAAAATTCCATTTCATAAATAGATTACAAGACAGCTATGATCCAATTCAAGGGCTGTCAGCAAAAATTGGCCCATGTACGTATGCTGTTTTATCGTTTTTCCAAGAAGTGGCAAAGTTCCCACAATCAGTTTATGCCTGTGGATAATGCAGGAGATGGAGCAGGTAGGTTAGGGCGGGGGCAGCCGATCTAATGTGGTGTCTGCCACCTGAACCAAAGGCTTGGTGGAACTGCTCTGTTCTACAGGCCCTGCGGAATGGTAGTAAATCCCGCAGGGCCCTGATCTCAATTGAAAGACTGTTCCATCAGGCCGGAGCCAGAGCCAAAAAGGCCCTGGCTCTGGTCAAGGCTAAGTGGACATCCCGCCGGGGCGGGGACCACCAGTAGGGGTTGCTCTGAGGAGGGAGGAGGAGATTGGATTTATACCCCACCCTCCACACGGAGTCTCAGAGCAGCTTACAAACTCCTTTCCCTTCCCCTCCCCACAACAGACACCCTGTGAGGTAGGCGGGGCTGAGAGAGCTCTTTCGAGAACTGCTCTTTCAAGGACAGCTCCGACAGAACTATGGCTTGCCCAGGGTCATCCAGCAGCTGCAAGTGGAGGAGTGGGGAATCAAATCCAGTTCTCCCATATTAAAGTCCGTGAACTTAACCACTACACCAAAACAAAGCTCTTTGGGGGACACAGCAGGAGAGATGGGCCTGCAGATGTGATGGTCCAAAACCGCACAGTTCGTAGTCTGGACAATGATCCAAGAACAGATTTCATCCCCCACCCTTCATCTTCGAATGCATATTCACCAGGATAACAAGAGCCCTTGGGAACCAGAGTGGCGTCGTGGTCAGAGTGTTAGACTGAGATCTGGGAGACACAGGTTTGCATCTTTACTCTGTCAGGGAAGCTTGCTGGGTGACCTTGGGCCAGTCAGACACTCTCAACCGAGCCTACCGCACAGGGCTGTTGTGAGGATAACTTGATGGAGAAAACAACAATGTAAGTGGCTTTGGGTCACCATTGAGAAGAAAGGGGGAGTATAAACAAAGTATATAAATCACCACTTGCCCGTCTTAAATGAGCCCAGCTGATTTTTATAACCCCTCCCTGGTCTGATTGTTTCATTTGTCTGTTTACTCAGCCTCTGTAATTAATGAACAGGCCATTTTGGATTTGCATACATCTAATTCGATGTTAACATGAGAAACAGAACAAAGGTTAATTTTGTTTTCCCCATTTGGATGAATTGGCAGACAGAATGTTTGAGTGAAGGGGCAATTCTTATCTCTGTTAGTGATTTTTGTTTTTTCGGAGCTGCTTGTTTCTGATGAAATCCAAAGTGTGGGAGCCTTGCGGGGGCAGACAGAATATGCTCTGGGCACAGCCTCTGTGGCAAGAGAGGTGCGCGTGGACGGATTCTGGCTTTTGCCGCTGGGACACCAGACCCTGTCCTTTGTGCTCTGAGCTGGCAGCTACAAAGTTAAATATGCGGGTATGCCTCAAAAGGGAGCTGCGGGTGGCTCAAGTGGTTAAGACGCTGAACTGCAGTCACGTGTTAACATGAGAAGCAGAACAAAGGTTAATTTTGTTTTCCCCGTTTGGATGAATTGGCAGACAGAATGTTTGAGTCAAGGGACAGTTCTTATCTCTGTTAGTGATTTTTGTTTTTTCGGAGCTGCTTGTTTCTGATGAAATCCAAAGTGTGGGAGCCTTGCGGGGGCAGACAGAATATGCTCTGGGCACAGCCTCTGTGGCAAGAGAGGTGCGCGTGGACGGATTCTGGCTTTTGCCGCTGGGACACCAGACCCTGTCCTTTGTGCTCTGAGCTGGCAGCTACAAAGTTAAATATGCGGGTATGCCTCAAAAGGGAGCTGCGGGTGGCTCAAGTGGTTAAGACGCTGAACTGCAGGCTGTGGAAGGTCGGTAGTTCAGCAGTTCGAGACCTGACTTGCCACATGACGGAGTGAGCTCCCGTCTCTAGTTCCAGCTCCTGCCAACCTAGCAGCTCGGAAGCAAGAAATTGCAAGTAGATAAATAGGGACCACTTCGGTGGGAAGGTAACAGCGTTCCGTGTGCCTTGGTGTTTAGTCATGCCAGCCACATGACCACGGAAACGTCTTCGGACAGCACTGGCTCTTCGGCTTTGAAACGGAGATGAGCACCGCAACCCTAGAGTCGGGCTCGGCTTGCTTTTGTGGCAGGGGACCCTTTCCCAGGGTGAGAGAACTGAGGTGGCACTCACAAGGAGAGGGAGAGCCTACCTTAGCATTTGAGCTGCTTGCATCCTTTGGTGCCCTGAAACGGCGTGGAGCCCTGGCCCCTCGTGCGAATCTCTCCATTGCTTCAAATTGTCAGAGGCATCGCTGGCCTGCTGCGAGATGGCCAGTGTTTCGGAGCCCACAGATAACAATTGCTAGCGGTGGCCAGACATCGAATCCTGATGACCTGAAACAAAAGGTTCCAGTATATTCCATGACAAGGGTAACACGTTTTTACAAAGGTGCTGGCAGTAAAAGGGGTAGTGGTGGGTGGGGGACGGGGACAGAAACCGTTTTCAAAATGGTGTCTGGCTGCGTCACGGGTTGGAACACAAACATCTGGATTGCCTCCAGTCAGCAGGCCACAGGAGGAAAAAGTACTTGAGGGCCAGTGTGGTGTAGTGCTCAGAGTGTTCAACTAGGATCCGGGAGTGCCAGATTCGAATTCTGACTCTGCCATGGCAGCTTCCTGCCCTGCCCCTGTGGGTCGTTAGGAGGACAGAATGGAGGACAGGAGAATGTTGTGAGCAATGTTCCCTCTAAGCTGATGCTGGCCTGGTGCGAGATGGCCAGTGATTAGGAGCCCACAGACAACAATTGCTAGAGGTGGCCAGACCTGATGACCTGAAACAAAAGGTTCCAGTATATTCCATGACAAGGGTAACACGTTTTTTACAAAGGTGGTGGCAGTAAAAGGGGTAGTGGTGGGCGGGGGGCACGGGGACAGAAACCGCTTTCAAAATGGTGCCTGGCTGCATCACGGGTTGGAACACAAACATCTGGATTGCCTCCAGTCAGCAGGCCACAGGAGGAAAAAGTACTTGAGGGCCAGTGTGGTGTAGTGCTCAGAGTGTTCAACTAGGATCCGGGAGTGCCAGATTCGAATTCTGACTCTGCCATGGCAGCTTCCTGCCCTGCCCCTGTGGGTCGCTAGGAGGACAGAATGGAGGACAGGAGAATATTGTGAGTCACTTTGGGTCCCTGTTGGGGAGAAAAGTGGGGTACAAATGAAGTCAATAAATCCATTTTGCCTCTTCGGAACAGAAGTCAGCAGGCCAAACTTCACTGGCTACTAGGAAGAAGAAGAAGAGGAGATTGGATTTATACCCCGCCCTTCACTTGGAGTCTCAGAGCGGCTTACAAACTCCTTTCCCTTCCCCTCCCCACAACAGACACCCTGTGAGGTGGGTGGGGCTGAGAGAGCTCTGACACAAACTGCTCTTTTTCAAGGACAGCTGTGCCAGAGCTTGTGACTGACCCAAGGTCATCCAGCCAGGTGCAAGTGGAGGAGTGGGGAATCAAACCCGGTTCTCCCAGATTAGAGTCCGCGCACTTAACCACTACACCAGACTGGCTCTCTCTCTCCCCAGGAACAACAGCTGCCCCTCCCCCAAGCCCTACCAAGATCTGTGGACCCCTCTCAGTGTCCTCGTGGGACCGAGTGTTCCCCCCATGCCGTTCACCCTTTCTATGCCACCACTGGTCCCAAGAGCCGTAAGAATGGAACTATTTATGTACCACTGGACAAACTGAGTGCATGCTGTCATCTTAGATAACCTGCACCGACGGCTCACGGTCCGGTACCGTTACTTGCTACGGAATCTGAAAGATGCTGCAGAGCCGAGGCTTCCCTACCAGCCAGAGAGCCATTTTTTTTTTCATATTCAGATGGGGTGCGCTTCGAGTGGTTGCGCTGCCATACGCAACATCGTGCTCCCCTCACACGGAGACCTCCAGCGTTTCAGAATTCTGAGGCTGTGAGAACCGGCTCCCACGGCACAGGCAGACAGGCTGGCACAGTACGGAGCCGAAAGACGAGCTTCAGGGCGAGATACAAACCCAGTGCCTGGCAACCACCGCTGCAGGAGCTGGTGGTGAGAAAACAGGGACCTCCCGCCCTCCAGCGCTGCCAGTTTAAGGGTGTATATTTAGGCGAGGTGTTGGGAGGAGTTCCACAGTGGGAAGGTTTTGTGTGTAAAGACCCATCAAGTCGCAGCTGACTGACAGTGATCTCGTAGGGTTTTCGAGGCAAGAGACGAGCAGAGGTGGTTTGCCATTGCCTGCCTCTGCGTAGCAACCCTGGACTTCCTTGGTGGTCTCCCTTCCAAATACTGACCGGGGCTGACCCTGCTTAGCTTTCGAGATCTGACGAGATAGGGCTAGCTGGAGCCATCCAGGTCAGGGGCAGGAAGCTGCGGACGTCCGGAAAGCCAGCCACCTGATGTCAGAGGCAGGAGTGATGGATATGAACGATGAGGGGGAAAGGGGGGTTGGGTTCGAGCTGCACAATCCCGGCACGTCTGATCCATGCCTTCTTTCCTCCTTCCTTACAGCAGAAGCTGACACCAGCGTCTTTGCCTCCAACTCGCTGCAGCGGAAGAAGAAGGGCCTGCTGCGGCCCGTGCACCAGCGCGCCAAGCCCCACCTGCTGATCGGCATGCCCCAGGATTTCCGCCAGATCTCCTCCATCATCGATGTGGACATTCTGCCCGAGACGCATCGGCGGGTGCGGCTGCACAAGCACGGGTCCAACAAACCCCTGGGCTTCTACATCCGGGACGGGGTCAGCGTCCGCGTGGCCCCCCACGGGGTTGAGAAGGTGCCCGGGATCTTCATCTCCCGCCTGGTCAAGGGGGGCCTGGCCGAGAGCACCGGGCTGCTGGCCGTGAACGACGAGATCTTGGAGGTCAACGGCATCGACGTGGCGGGCAAGTCCCTGGACCAGGTCACGGACATGATGGTGGCCAACAGCCACAACCTCATCATCACGGTCAAGCCGGCCAACCAGCGCAACAACGTAATCCGCAGCAGCAAGGCCTCGGGCAGCTCCGGCGTGTCCACGGACAGCACCCCCAGCCAGCAGACCCCCAGCCCGGCCTCCCAGTACCTGAGCAACTGCAGCACGGCCGAGGGGGAGAGCGACGAAGAGGGCGACCTGGTGATCGAGAGCGACTTGCCTGCCGGTTGTCCCAACGGAGGCCTCCTCGAGAGTCTGCAACACAGCCTCTCCCTGTACAGCTCTCAGGGCTCGCTGCCTTCTCTGAACAGTCACAGCGGCAGCGGAAGCCCGATCCGGGGCAGCCGAGCAGGCAGCCTCCGGGAGGATGGTACGGTCATCACGCTATAGCCCTGGGCGCACACACACCCCTCCCTGTGCCCTGCATCGCAGCGTTTCCAAAGGTCGGTTTGGTGACTGCCTTATTCCTAGCCAGTGGGACTGGAATCTGGGGCACGGGCAGGGTTTCTCCATCTGGGTCCCGAGTCACTACCCCAGTCTGACCTCTCCGTGCACACTGCCTCCTCCCGAGCGCAACGGGTGCTTTCTCCAGCTGCTGTGGCAAAGACGGCGGCCGGGATCGGAGCAATAGGGGGGGGCGGGAGCAATCCACTTTCCTCGAGTCCCCTTCTTCCTCCTCCCCATCGAACCAAAGTTATGGGGTTTTTATTACCTTCCTTCTCTCTTCCCGTCAGCCCCCACCCCACCCCCGCCTGTGCTCCGGGTGGAAAGAGGGGGCTGCCCCCCACGGACGCAGACGATCCCTGCCCCGACCCACTCTCATGAAGTGTTTCTTTTTAGTTGTTTGTTTTTACGACAACATGCATCACAGATTAATATATTGCAATGGACTATTAAATTTTTTTTAAAGAAAGAATGCTCTCAAGTGGTTTTTGGAAACGTGCTGGGGGAGGAAGAGAGAAAGGGTGCCCGGGGAAAGGCTTGGAACCACTTTGGCGAGGCAGTTTGTTGACCACGACTTGGGGAGGGAGGGAGTGGCCGTGGCTCCATGGGAGAGCATCTGCTTGGCGTGCAGAAGGTCCGAGGTTCAATCTCCAGTGACTACAGCTGGAATGATCAGGTCGCAGGTGGTGTGAAAGACATCAGCCTGAGACCCTGGAGAGCCACCGCCAGTCAATTGACAGAGGCAACAGAGCACCTTGGGTTACCTTTGCCTCCAGTGACCTCAACAAGTTGGTCTTTGTTGGGTTTTTAGCAGAGATAAAATAGCTTAGCAGTGCCAGAGTAAAATAATTCAGACTCAGAGTCCATAGAAAGTTTTTACTACATTCTAGCATAGGGAAGGGTAACTGGGATGAAAATAACAACGGAGCTAAATTCCCTACATCTTTACACTACAAAAGACAAGACTAGAAGAGGAGGTAATGGCTGCTCTTCTTTCTGCTTCAGAACTCCAAACAAAGACGGGAAGAGAAGCCATAAAATGCTAAAACACTTTGACACTTTACTTCCAATGAAACTCCAGGGAGAATTTTCCCGGGCTTGTAGTCCTAAACTAACATTGGTTACATGGGAAACATGTGATTTCCTGTGACAACAGAAACAAACATTTAACCCCAGATACACTGAGTGTAATTTTAACTTGTAATACTTGTATCTGTCGAATGATATCCTGGTTTGTCCTGCAGGTGGAGGAAAATTACTTCTGGGCTCCCCCCTACTCTGAGAGCAAGGAGTTGTTGTGCAAGGGTATCTTTGTCATCACCTGTGTGTGGACCCCAGGAAGAGTTCGCAGCATGCATTGTTGAAGGCAGAGCTGGATAAATTTTTTGTGGGAGGAAGTATGCTGAATCTGAAGAGGACCCCACAATTGGAGCTCTCTCCCCCCTTCCTTTCCAGCAACTGAGAATCAGAGGGCCATGCTATTTATTTACTTCATTTATACCCCCATCTTTCTCCCCATTGGGAACCCACGTTTTCCTCCCCTCCCTTTTGTCCTCACAGCAACCCTACGAGGTAGGTTAGACTGAGAGCCTGTGACTTGCCCGTGGCCACCCAGTGAGCTTCCATGGCAGAGTGGAGTTTCGAACACGAGTCTCCCAAGTCCTAGTCCGATACTGTGAGTATGCTGCACTGGCTGTACTCTGATTGGACTGTGCATTTTGAAAGCCTGACTCTTGGGAGTCCACACACAAATTAAGAAACAAGTCCCCAAAGCCATGTGTGTTTAAAAGGTATCAAAATGAAGATGGGTGTTGCAACAGGGGTCACTGTTTGACTTGTGGTGGGTTGCTGGGTGGATCTTTATGGCAGGCCATTTGCCCTCTTATTTTTTTCCCAGTTTGGTGTAGTGGTTAAGAGCTTGGACTGTAATCTGGAGAACCCAGGCTTGATTCCCCACTCTTCCACATGCAGTCAGCTGGGAGACCTTGGGTCAGTCACAGTTCTCTCAGAGCTCTCAGCCCCACCGGGTGTCCGTTGTGGGGAGAGGAAGCGAAGGAGATTGTAAGCCGCTCCAAGACTCTGAGCTAAGGGTAGGGTATAAATCCAACTCTTCTTCATCTACATCGTCTTCTTCCTCCTTCCCCATTATTGGCAAAACTCCTATTCTTTTTAGCAAGGTGCAGGAGTATGGAGAGGGCTTATTCTACCTTCAGTGACAATGAAGACAAAAGAAATTGGCGTGGGGAGGCAAAGTCTGTGGATTATGTAAATTTTATGCTAATTTAAATTCTCCCTGTGTGAGTGTGTCTTGAAGATCCTGCTGCCGGCAGGAAGGGGGAAGGGAGAGTTGCATCATGGGTTAAGCTGGGCTACTGCACACGCGGGTCGGTTGTCTTCTGATTTTATCTGGCCATACTAGGCTTTCCCACCTGCCTGCTTGTGACCAGTTTCAAGAAACAACCCCGGCATCTCTCTGTGTCTCTTTCAGTCTCTCCTGCAAAAAAAGCATCCGTGAAAAGGAAAGAGAATCGCTAGTAAGCCACGACCACAGCGTGTTGCAACAGCAGCTCTACCACATCGAGCTCATTTGCACCCAAATGGTTTGCGGTGACAGGTTTAATTTAGAATGTTAAATCCCAGCAGCACAGGCTTCTTTCCCCCGTGATCTTGTTCTGCTTGAAACTCAGCCAGCTCACTGTTTCTCCTGCACAGCTTGTGGATTCTTGCTCTTTTGGGGTTGAAAGAGGCTGGTGCCGTTACATGCCCTATCAGGATGGCACCGACCGTGGGCGACCGGTCTGGCCTTGTGAGAAGGGAAGCTTTCGAATGACCAAGAGACCAAGCCTCTGCAGGAACACACACAGCCCCTCCTGCCTCCTTATCTGAGCTACGGGAGCCAGAAGAAACAGCTAACCTCTCACTCCGATCTTGCTATGGGGTCATTGAATGTCTCTTGGTATGTCTTGCGATGGATACAGCATTACAATGTCCACGGCTTCAAAAGGGAATTAGATAAGCATATGGAGCAGAGGTCCATCAGTGGCTATTAGCCACAAGGTATAGATAGGGACTCTGGGGCAAGGGATGCTCTGTCTTCTTGGTGCTTGGGGGGGGGTCAACAGTGGGAGGGCTTCTAATGTCCTGGCCCCACTGGTGGATCTCCTGATGGCACTGGTATTTCTGGCCACTGTGTGACACAGAGTGTTGAACTGGATGGGCCTTTGGCCTGATCCAACATTGGCATCTCTTATGTTCTTATGTTCCACATGTGTGTATAATTCTGGCATGCAGTATGGGGAGGGGAAGAAAAATGATTCCTGATTGTCAGAAACTTAAATCCTGCCAGATCCACCTACGGCAGGGGCTGCTACCTCAAGATACAGAAGATCTCCCAAGTTCCAACCTAAGCCCCGGGGAAATGTGGATGGTCATTCAATTGCCAAGCCTGCCAGCAGAGGGCAGTATGAAGCGGCATAGTAGGAATCCAGAGGAAGGAACAGGGTTCAAGACACCTGCCTACGCTACCGGCCTGGGAAATCCAAGTCCCCTAGAGCTGACTGGTCATCAGAAACTTGGTAGTTTAGCTTCACGAGGCATCTGTGCAGCAATTCAGCCACAAGGGTGGTGGGATGTGCCGTCAAATCGCGGCAGACTTATGGCAACCCCGTAGGGTCTTCAAGGCAAGAGACGAACAGAGGTGGTTGGCCGTGGCCTGCATGGTTTCCTACATGGTCTCCCATCCAAGGACTAACCGGGGCTGACCCTGCTCGGCTTCTGAGATCTTTTGAGATCAGGCTAGCCTGGGCTATCCAGGCCAGGGCAGTCCCCCAAGTAGCCCACTTCCATTCCAGATCTGTTGGCGGCCTCCAGGTACCACCCAGGCCCACAAAGTGACTGGTCCCCTGGAACCCAGATCCAGCCACCTTGGATCTTCCTGGCACTGTAGGGCTAGCCCGTCCTCATTCCATGAGCTTCTCCTACAGAGAGCAGCACTGCTAAGTAACAAAAAAATGTGGTGGGGGGAGCTCTGAACAGCGGTCCCAAGAATGGGCTGAGCTGGGAAGCTGGCCTGGCTCCTCGCGTAGCCGATGATCCCAGGCAGCTGGGCTTTGCAGAGCAGAACTCTGCCAGTCGTCGCCCAAGGGCAGGACGCGGAGGCTTGTCAAAATGCTGATGTGCTTAGAGGGTAGCGGCAGGTTTCTAATCCTGCTAGTCTGGCCCTCTCCTCCCCAGCATCCCTGCACAGTCCTGGGTGGTAGAGGGAGAGATGCAGGCGAGATGCTCAGCCTTCCTTTGGAGAAATTACACAGATGGGTGTATTTGATACCCCGTCAGCTTTATTAATTCTCTGCCAACCCACTTCAGCGTGGAGTTTTTTGTGCCAAGGATGGTTTTTTACATCCCTTGAGCACTCGGGCACACCTTAAAACAAAACCAAAAACCCCCATCTCCTGGCTTTTCCAAGCTGCAAAGCGGAGCCCTTTCACGATCGCTTTACTCCAACCTGATGCTCAGGTGGCAAAAAAAAAAGAACAGCAACATCTTTCCAGTGACGCAGAACAAACTGCAGCTTCCTGGATTTAAATTAGGTATCTTCTCTGACAATGTATCTGCAACTGTTAGAAGTTTATGGCAACGTCTTAGCCTGAGGTTGAATTTAGGAGCAATGGTACTTGCAAAAGCCAGTCTTTGCTGCTGCATCTGTGTTGCTGGACCCTCTTCCTGGTAAGACCAACTGTCCTGTCTCTGTAACAGAACTGGAGCCACACATTTCCTAACATTCTCTTGCAGCCAACAGCAATAAACAGATAACAGCAGAGCAGAAAACCCTGGAGTTTCCAAGGCTCTATAGCACGTAGTACTGTTGGACATAGTAAACATGCCTTGACTTCAGATAGTGTCCGTGCACCTGAAAGCTGATACCCAGAATTAAGCTTTGTTGGTCTCACAGGTGCCACTGGACCAGTGTTCCCTCTAAGCTGAGTTAGTTTGAGCTAGCTCACAGTTTTTTAGCCTCCAGCTCACACATTTTTGCTTAGCTCAGGAAGGAGGGCTCCAGCGCAAACTAATTTATGCAGTTGCCAAATCGCTCAGTCACAACTTTAATACCAGTAGCTCACAAAGTTGAATTTTTGCTCACAAGACTCCAAAGCTTAGAGGGAGCATTGCACTGGACTCAAACTTTGCATTATCACTCTTGTTAGTTTTATACTAACTGAATACCAAGAAATTTGGGTGTCTGGTGAAGATGTTCAGAATTGTCACACAGGCCTCCCCCAGAGTGAAGATGTCCAGAGTTTCTGGGGCAGAGGGGATGACTTGTAAGAGCTGTTTCAGATGGGGTGTGTGTTAGCAGTTTGCCTTTCT